CTTCATGATCTTAGGAGACCATGCTTGGTATCTCCCCTGATCATGGACTGGCATGTGTCTGCTTTTATGTTTTGCTGTGTCCACCTGCACCCCGGGGTGTTCTCCTTCCCCTCTCTCACACAGCTGACACTTCCTCCTGAACAGGACTCAGAGAGCATCTCCAGTGTCTACTACCTAATGGACACTCAGTAAATATTTGTCGAGCAAAGGAGTGTTTATCTTGTCCTCAGTGTTTGCCTGTTCCTTAGGTCATTATTTACCTATTTCCCATGTGCATCTCCTTCCTTTCAAATAAGTGGAAAGGTGCTGGAAGGGAGAGACGTTATGCTTGTTTTATTATCTGGTACAACTGGCGGCAGTAATAAGTCACTGCTCAACTGAACATTTAGAAGACGGTCGTACTTCTAAGGCTCAGCCTCAGTGCCTCAAGCTTTGCTGGACGGCCATTTCTAAGCGTTGAAATGTGGCTCTAAAATATCTCCACTGTTCATACTTTGCCCGTTTGTTCTAGGCTCTGGAAGTGAATATTGTTGGTAGCAGTTCCATTGAGAGGATTTCTCAGCTTCTATGAATGAGGGAAAACAGTCAGGCATCCCTATAATGATGGTCTGGAGTCCGGGTGGGGATAGGAAATAAGGGGGTTGTCATGCACGGCCCAACTGCAGCCCGAAGTCTGGAGGGGAGCCTTGCAGGAGGTGGGGCTGCCTTTCCAGAGTGCTCAGCGCTGTTGATGTCTGGGACCTCACGCCTGGCTAAACGCTCATGGGGGCAGCAGGGCAAGCCCCTGGGTCCGGCCTCCAGCTCTTCTCTCCGCCCCACTGTCTGTCTCCCCAGTCTCTTCAGCATTCTTTGGTCAATGTTGTAGAGATATGACTTGAGGTAAGGTCTTGCCCCATTTGAAGCCGGGCTGTGGTTTCTTGCTGCCAAGAAACCCAGGGGGATTTTTCAATCAAAAGAATGTAAGTGTTCTCTTGGACCTCAGACACTTTAAATTAAGGAATTTTGCAGGAGAAACCAGTTTGAAGATTCAGCTGTTACTTTGTTTTTGCTCATAAATAACATTTCTTACTTAGTTTACATATGTTACTGCCTCTGTGGATTTGAACATCTTTTTCTATTTCAAAAATTCAAGTTCAGTCTTTAAAAAAAAACAAAACTCAGGCTGTGAGTTTTGTCAGTGTACCACATGGATGGTTCATGCCCACAGAGGTCAGAAGAGGACATCAGATCTCCTGCTTGTGAGCTGCCATGTGGGAACTAAACCTGGATCATCTAGGGGAGCAGAAAATGCTGAGCCCTCTCTACAGACCTCACATCCATTCTCAGAAGGATGAGGCTTTGGTGCCATGCAGAATGACTAAACAAAATGTAGCAAGCAGTAAAGAAAGTCTAATAATGTTTTAAGTAATGACAAGAACAGCACAGGGAAATTAGAGAAAGTGTGTGTGTGTGTGTGTGTGTGTGTGTGTGTGTGTGTGTGTGTGTGAGAGAGAGAGAGAGAGAGAGAGAAAGAGAGACTGCAAGAGAGAGAAAGACTGCTATCCTAGCAACCACAAAAGGGAGAAAACTGACTAGGACGCATAAGCCCTTGGTAGGATTGTTTTAACTGGAGTTTTTATTTTATGCATTCCCATGTAGTTGTCAGAAATAATAGGAGGTCCTTTGTGTATGCTGTTCAATTCTCTCCAGGCCCGGAGCTTACAAAACTATACCTTAACCAGTGGCTCAAATGGCTCAGATATCTGTGTTCAGTTCCCAGCCCCACGTCAGATGGCTTACATTGCAGCTCCAGCCAGGGGATCTGATGCCCTCTTTTGGCATCTATAGGTACTGTGCTCAGTCTCTCTCTCTCTCTCTCTCTCTCTCTCTCTCTCTCTCTCTCTCTCTC